TTTATGTTTTTTTTCTTTTTTGCCAACTTTGTACTAAAAATAAATACACAACACTTGCCGCAGCTGAGGAAATTCTCGGCTGGCTTCGATAAATTTATGTGGGACCTGTCCGATTTTCAGCTCAGTTTTGCCGCTGCAACAAGCAGAATGTGCAAAAATCAACAGTCACATTTATTTCATTTGCGTCTTTTAACCTGCGGCCACAACTGCCACGCCCCGTGCCTGACGATTGACGAGCCAAAATGGAAGTGTGCCCAAAGTACCACAACTCACAGCTCCCATATATACAGATATGCATATATATAGAGCCATAATGATGTTGGGATTTGATGTGTGCTCTTAACGAAGTGCCAGGCGTCTTTCTTTTTTTTTCTATTTATTCTTTTCTGTTTTTTCATAATTCCAAAGTGAATTCTCGTGCAATGTAGAAAGAAGCAGCGGCAGTTGCGTGTATAGATCCAAGCACAACAAATATTGGTTTAGTTTTGAAAAGTTGTTGAAAGATTTCTAGCATTTCCTATGTAATTGAAATCTTCGCAAATGACATACGCTACGTTGTGTATTTTGAGTTCCTTAAGAATAATTAGTAGAAAAAATAAGTTAGGACAAAGATAAACATAGGTTAATCTATTAAAATTGAGAAGAGTGAACAAAAGTTCTCCTCTTTTGATGTATAAAAGACGTAAGAGTATAAGAAGGTTTTAAGCAAAGCCCTCCTATGCGATTCTCATGCATTCAAATAAGCCTTTGCGGGTTTTCTCTCTTTCCATCTACTACCTCGCTCTTTTTATCTTTTTCTCTCTTTCTCCCTTTTCCTCTCTCTTTCTCTCTCGTTCTCCCCCACTGTTTCTTTCTCACCTTATTTATCTCTCTTTCCCCTGCGCTTACTCTAACTAACTAGTTCTCTACTCTTCTTTTTCAGACATTTGGATATATAAAGGACAGTCTCCATTTAACCCAATAGAAGACAACAAAATAATCATGAGTATCTGGATTTCAGGTAAGTACATATATCCATGTATATTTACATAATAATAAGAATATGTGTTACGGCTAAAAAGAACCGTGCAAAAATTCTAGGAGATATTCGTATTTTATTGAAAAGCATATATATATAATTCTATATAAAAGTATTATCTTAAATACCACAATATTTTATATGAACAGATGAAATACCCTCTATATGTATACATATACAGAAAGTTAAAGAATTTAAAACATTTTTACCCAATTTCATTTGATAGTTCCCCGAATTCGAAGGGAAATTTTCTTGTTTATGGCAGAGACTAATTTTAATATATTGTTTTGCCATTTCAGCTTGCTTGAGGTCGTAAATTATTTATAATCCTTTCGAATGAAGAATATAATTTAACAGTAATCAGAACGCGTCTTTTCCATAGGTGTTTCGAATTTGCGAAAAGATTTAAATACTTGAATGTGCTTAAAAATAGAAAAGTTAGTGTGTCAAAACAAGAACTTTAAATTCGTGGCGTTCAATGAAAATACCGATTCCTCTTTTCATTTAAATTTCGCCTTTTCTCGCAAGTTTGTAATTTAGTCGATTTTTTTAGTATAAACAAATGCGAATTGTTTAATATATATGCCCTATTCTAGCTGTAGACATGTTTAGAAATGTTTCAGGTAAACTCACATGAACATTTCAAGATTGTAAAAGCCTTCAATTCTTGACCTTTCACAGCTTGATTTTCTATAAAGCCCATTAGCCGTTTCTTCCCACCGTTTTCCTGGCCATGAACGCAGCTACATAAAGGCCTAAGCGGCTGAGTTTTCCTAACAATAATCAAATTCTTCCATAATTGAGGCCAATTTTTGTTGCTGTTTATAAACATGAGCAGGCAGGTAGGAGGGGAGACTGGTGGGGGGGGTTTAGCTGCCAAAAGTCTGGCTGATTAGGCTAAGCTATTGCCAGGGTAATTAGCCTTAGAATGTTGTTGTTGATTATTTTGGTATTTATTTATGTTAACGCCTTTTCCAATCATTAAGACGGCTCGCGAATGCGTGCAAGGCAAAGGTCAAACATAATTTTAATGAGCGAGAGTGAAAGGGGGACGGGGGAATGTGGGGAGGGGGGGGGGGTTGATTATGTAAATTAAGCGGAAAAAACAAAACAACAAAAGGCCGCACAATTACTTGAGGCAGATACTTTCTGGCAAAACAATTTGGAGGGGCATTTGTTTAGCTCCTTCTCTCTCTCTTTCTCACTCTCTCTCTCTCCCTCTCTCTCTCTGCTGCTGCTTGCAATGCGATATGTTAGCCAAAGTTTCTGCCACTGGCAACTGCCTCATTACGAAATGTCGCCAAGATTTGCGGCTTTAATAGACGCCGTTAAAAGCGTAATGGGTAAAAGCAGCAGCTACAACAACAACAACCAAAAAAACAACAACAACAATTGCAGTTGATTTTGTGTTTTTTTTATTTTCCTTCATGATTGTCACTCGATACTCTTTGTTTTTGGTTGCTTTTGTTGGCCTCTTGGCCACACTTCAATGGCGCTGCGGTGCATAATTTGAATTTTTCTAACGCAGCTGCTGCCGTTCGACGCTTTCGCTGCTGCAACACCTCCCCCCCCCCCCCCCCCCGCATGCCACCGTTAGCTTCTACTCTAGCTCTGGCTCTGTGTAGGAGTTGTTTGGCCGCCTCGGCATGCCCAAGAGTTCATTGCATTTGCTTGATTTTCACTTTCAATTGGCAAAACCGCAACGTTGCAACATCGCTGCGTCTGTGGCAGCTGCTGTCACAACAGGCGACGCATCGCTGGCCCCTCCCCCCCCCCCCTCCTCCTCCCTCTCTCCCCACTCACGTAAACACCAGCGCATTTGACCAACAAGTTCCGATGCGTGTGCGCGTATAAGCTGGCGCCATCTAGCGTTCAGATTGAACCACGTTCGGTCTTATAATCGGCTGTGCGTTAAGGCCTAAAGATTGTCATATCAAATGTCTTTATTTTGTGCGTTTCAGACCATGAACAAAATAAGTATTACGCCATATATGGCCATTTTTCCATACATATAACTAGCACTATTTTTTCTCCAAAATTTGTTGTTTTTTTTTTTGCTTTTCTTGACATTTGGGCTAATTGACGTAATTTGTTTTAGGCCTAAACGCTAAACTGTTGTCAGCTGCGAGCTGACATTAGGCCATTTGGCATGTGGAACAAGTGGAACACGCGACAGATAATAATGCCCAAAAAAAGATTACCATATAATTACGACTGGGAATAAGAATAGGTAGCAAAGAGAATAATCTTTGGGCATGATAAACAAAATAGTCACTTATTCTTAATGATACTCTCTATTAAAGGCAGCTCTCGTTTAATTTAAAACGTTTTTTCATATTAGACTCTTAATACGAAGATTTGCTCTGGTTAGCTCTTTCGATTTGGTGCCTAGATTTTTCGGGTGACACATTTGGTAAGAGGGCTTTTCTTAAAGTATTAGAGGAAAAGGAAAAATTTGGGTAAAGTGGGGTAAATAGCTAAATAAAAGAACATATCTTTGGTCTTATATCAAGCCATGATAACTATATTCCATTTTCTTATGATCTTTAGAAGGTCTCAAAAGTATTTAACGCAATTCCATTACCTATTTTAAAGTCTTTGCCGCCTGTTTAACGTTAACGAATGCGAAACAAAGTGGAATTACAAGATTGAAAATCTCTCATGCTCCTGTTAAAACGTTAACGAATACAAAGTGGAATTTCAAAAATGTCTGTTAAACGTTAACGAATGCCAAGCAAAGTAGAATCACAAAAATGAGAAGCTCTCACGTGAGATATAACCGTTTTTTATCACTTGCCACGTTCTTGAGCACCCGCTGAGTGTTTTAAGCATTCATAACTAACCCCTTCACGCCATTAAACAAGCTTTATTGACGCTCTAGGCCCCATTTATGCAGCTCTCACATTGATCAAACAGCTCTCTAAGCAAACCCCTCCCCCCACACGCACACACGCACACACACACACACGCTAAAACGTCGTCCATAAAAAGTTCGCACATAAATAATGTTGACCTTAAAAAAAAAAGCAAAAGAAAAAAGGTTGTCATATCACGGCCACCGTGACGGAGCTGCAGCCGAAGCTGGAAAAGCTGCCACTTCTCCACATGCGCCTCCTGCTGCCAAGTGTGGACAAGACGCAAGTCGCGACGCCGGCGGATAGGCTGTCAAGGCTGCAAGGCGGACGGACGTGCGGACGGACGGAGGGACAAATGGACAGAGCGACAAAACAACAAGGTGACATAAATATCCAGTTGCTCCGAAAAGGAAACTCAACTTTTTGCCAAGGCAACAGTGCAAAGTGTTTGACATGAGAATGAATGACTTGCAGTTACCCTGTAATCAACTCCATAGCTACATATATTCTTGCACCACCTTGCATTAAATATATATATTTATATACATAAACAAAAAAAAGTTCATAATACATATATCTATCTGTCGACCTTTCCCAAAATAATCTATATTAGGAAACCTATAAAGTTACCGCTCGTAGCTTAAAATGTTGCACAAATGATAATCGACATTTTATCAATACAGTTTACATTTAAGAATCTTTATTTATTTTAATTTCACTAACTCGAGACAAGTTTTTAAAAACAATATAACACATTTTTAAACTACAATGTGAAATTTTTATATGTCCCACAAAAAGGTCTATGTGAAAATTGTTTTAATTACAATACAGTATTGTTTTATTTTTCAAAAATGGTTCCAAAATTTATTTTTTATAATTTAAATATTTTCCCTATTAACGAGTGACCACTGTATTGCAAATATTAAGTTATATATTTAAAAAATACTTTATATATTTAATGCAGTTGCTTTTTATGCCTGTTACACACATGCGCACCATTCGTATAATGCCTGTTATACGCATTTTTAAAGGGTATACAACAAAGCGTGATATGTGCTGCAGCAGCAGGCATAGAAGAGGGGGAAGAGAGAGAGAGAGAGAGAGAATAGGATTCAATGAAAGCTCACCTGCAATGACCAAGTGAGGGCAAGATTCAGATTCCGCTGGAGTTGTAGTTGTTGTTGTTGTTGCTGTTGTAGTTGTTGCTGTTGTTGTTGCTGTTGTTGTTGTTGCTGCAGCGGTGGCAGCTGATTAGCCGGCGCTGCATTGAAATGTGTCAAGTTGTTGTTGTTGTTGCTCGTCGTATGACGTCGTGCGGGCAGCGCTGGCGGCGGCGTCAAGCAGAGCGACTCCTGTTGCTGCTCCTGTCCCAGTTGCTGCTGCTTGGCCTCAATTTGCGGCGACTTCTTGGGCAATGCCAAAGCGCTGCTCCCATTCCCATTGTTGTTGTTCAGCGAAAGCGAACGCGCAAAAGAACTTTTGAAATAGCGACACGGCATCTGGAAATCAAAGTCCGGCGGCGACGCAGGCGAAGACGTCGACGCATCCGCAGCGGCCGCTGGAAAGGCTTGCATTGTATTTTGCATGTTTCTGTGCGCGAACCGGAATTCACAATTTTGATTTTCGTTAGAAATCTGTATACTTTTTTTTTATTTTTTCGTTTTGGTTAGTGCAGCTTTAATTTGGCATTGTTGTTGTTTTTGCTAATTTGCTTTGATTTCTCGTTTAGTGCATTTTTTCACGCACTCTGACAAGACTCACACGCACACACACAAACACAAATATAAACGCGCGCGCGCGGACACACACACACACTAACACTCACACTCACTCGTATTGGTTTTTGACAGCTGGTATGTTTTGCCAATTTCACAGGCATTCAATTTCAATTTTTCAATTATTTATTTGGCTGGAACTTTTTAATCAAAATCAATTTCCATGAAAAATATAAAAGCGCGCGCACTACAAAAATCGGACACAGACGCGCAAATACGTCGCACGCGATCGGCTTTTTGTGAACGAATGAGCAACAAGATAAACAAGCAAAGAGCAGAGCAATGCAACTCAGCGGGCTGCTCAGCTGTCTGTTAAGCTAACATTAGTCTGTTACTCACTTACGCTCAGCTGTGTTCTGTAGATTAGCTGTAGATTTGCTTGTTCAAAACGTACTGTGCATGCTGTTCTTTACAAATATATTATTATTATATTATTATTATTATTGTTTAGTTACATCAATTTTAGCCAGCATCGAATAGCTTAAAAACACACATGTCCGCTAAGCACATTAGAAGACTTCGCACTGAGCTTCAAAGAGCGGTTGCATTTGAAATGCTCACACTCGGTTATGTTAAAGTGCTGCAATGTTATGCTCAAATGATCTGTTGGCGATAACAGAGAGTCATTTCAGGTATGCAACACGAAATTGTTAAATGTTATCGAGTTGAGCCCAAGAGTATGCAACTAGAATATAAATACGCTAAGACTACAAATTCAAATATTTAAGTTTGGCATATGCGTGTTAACGTTATTTCAACACAAACTGACCATAAACCTTACTAAAGCCGCGCCACTTTTATTTTCGCTTCTCCTGCGAACGGTTGCATTCAGTCGATAAGCTGTTAAATGACATTACAGAATGTTAAGAAAATGTTGCAGTGTAATTTCTTGAATACAAGACAATTTTTGTGAAATATACTAAATTTGGCTACAAATTACAAACTAATCAACATCACTGGCAAATGTGGACTTTAATGGGTAAGGGCATTACCAGCGCTTTATCATATATTCATAACTAATCCCCATGCCCCGGTTGCCAGTGCGCAAACATAATCCCCACACAAATCCTGCCGACTTAATGCCACATCTAGATAGGCGGACAGCTTGCCAATCAAATTGATTGTGCGCCGTTGACTATTTGTTTTATTATTTGACGACCCAAACACAGAACTTTACTGAATTCCAATGCCAGTTAAAACTTTTTACGCAACTTGCTTAATTTGGGGGGGTAGGGTCTATTAGGGGGGCAGGGGCAGGGGCAGGGGCTGGCACTCATCCTGTTGCAACTTGAGCTGGCACTAAAAACTCATTAGTCTATGGGCAATCACCAAAAATAGCCTGATCGAGCGCAAAAATTACTCATCCATCCGAGCAGCGCCAAATGTCGGCTATACACACAGAAATCCCATCAAAATCTCATTTGCGTTTCTATTTTTATTGTGGGCCCACTGTGGCCCCGTGCGCATGCCTTGTCGTTTCTCAATTACATAAGCCTTATATAATGGCCAACGGTGCGAACGAGATGACTGCTGTGTGCCGCGCTCTCTATGAGAAGTCGGCAGAGCTGATATTCAATTTTGTGTATCGGCTCTCGCTCTCGCCCTCTCTCTTTCTTTCGGGTTTTGTCTTGCCCGCTAGTACATCTTTATTAGTTCTGTACCACTTGTGGCAACCGTGCTTGGCACACATTCAAAATTAACAACACAAATAAAGCACTCTCCCGCATTCTCCAAAAGGCGACCACGTGACTGCAGGCAGCCCGGCGCAGCAGCAGCAGCAGCGCTGCTCTCGCCCGATCGTTGCGCTCATAATTTGAATTTCAATTACAACTGTTTCGGTTTTGATTTGTTACAAGTGCTTGTTGCTACACAGTTGTTGTTGCTCTAGGAGCGAAACCGTTTCGTTTTACTTTTGCGCATTTGCTAATCACCATGTCTGCCGAGAGCAGCAGCAGCACCAGCAGCAGCAACGATGACGCTGACAGAGAGCCTGAGAACATTATGGATTTATCAATTAGAGGTGAGTTTGCCTCCCCCAAGCACAAAACTCAACTCATTCAGCTGCTGCTGGCCAATTTCTTTCATTATCCCCGACACAAAACACGTGCGGCTCGCTGCCTGTGTGTGGGCCTGTGTGCTTTGTTTACATACCCCCACACACACACACGCTCGCCTATTGCGTGATTTGGCTGCTGTGCGCGTGTGTGCGAGAGCGGGCGCTCTGTGTTGTGTGTCCGTGTGAGTTAAGCCTCCAATCGCTAGACCATGTGACAAATTATTTGCCTTTGCCTTCTTTTTTTTATAACACGGCCAATTGGTTTTGTTGCGGCGAATTGAACAAATAACAGTAAACAAATAATGATATGGATGGTATATTAAAATAGAATAACAGATAAAAAGAGAGAGGCATAGAATGAGCCAGCGCCACAACAGTTGTCATTATTAATTGCAAAAAAAAAGTAAACACCCGCTAAAGCTTTTAAGCAGTTTAATATACTCAATGTGATCTCTAGACTAGGAAAAAGCTTTCTTGTGTGACTGCGACCCTACTGTAATTTTTGCTCCGTATTTTTATAAAGCGCCTAAATCGAGTAAGTACTGTAGATTGGAGCTTAACTAGCTTATGGAAAATTAATAAATACATATGTATTTTGTGTGTACATAAAAAGGTACAGTACAATAACTAATTAGTTTAGCCCAGATGTCGACTAATTGCTGCATATTATTCTACTCGACCCCCCCCCCCCCCCCCCCGCTGTTGTCGGTCAATCCACTAAAAACTTTAGATTGATATATGTAACTCAATGTGATTGATAGACTGACCGCGTACGTTATCGATGCTTCCAAGTTGCTCGGTTCGGTTCGGTTCGGTTTTTATGGCCTTTGATATCAGACTAATTATAGAGACGCCAAAACTCGATAAACACTATTGGGCAGTAGTTCCTCAAGCTGTTGCCAACAATTGGACTTTTGCCACACATTGTTGCGGCGACGTCGCCACAATCAAAGCCCAAAAAAAAAAAAAATACAAATAAGAAAAAAACCAAAAACCAAACGCACTGTCATCGTTGCCGGCGACGCCAACGTTTTTGTTATCATTATCACAGCCCAGGGACGAGGTTACCACGCGACTATAAATATTTACTCTCATGATTATTTCGGTTCGGGGCGCATAAAAATTTGAGTAGTGGATGATGAAAAACGTCGCGAGCAATTGAAAGTGGAATGAAGATAGAATTTTAATTATAAACTTTGCTATACGCACGCATACACCTGCACAACAAAGCACACCATTCATCATTTTGGGGCATGGGCCTTATCAGCAGCAACTCGGCACAGTCTAGAACTCAAAGTGCAAATCGTTTGAAGCGCATTCGCGTTGTCAGCAAAGCTTGCTCAAAAAGCTTGCTTGCCAAGTCACGCTCTCGTGCGCTTACCCACTCTCCCGCTCTCTCTCTCTCTTGCTGCCTCTCACTTTTGGCAATCAGATCACATGGTCGCACTGGAATATCTGTGACGTGACCGTACGATCCATTCACTAGGCCTGATAACATCGAGTCGAGCGCGCGTCTGGTTCGTAAATCCACATGGAAAATTTGTCACTTGTTTTGGCTGCAAGTTGCCTGCAGCTGTCTCTGGGTTAAAGATCAAGCTCAGGGGCTCCACACGGACTGCTAATCGCAATAAGCGTGCCATTAAGTTCCACAATTGGGGCTTGTGCGGTCCACTAATCTATTCGAAATTCGAGTCATTAACAAATAAATGCGACGCCAAAGCATACGAAGCCTTGGCACGCGTCTGGGCACTTTTGGAAAATTTTAGATTGAATTGAGTCAGGCGTTTGTTGGGGTCAGCCAGAACATAGACTTGGGGACCCTGGCGATTGTTGCCGTTCACATTTCATTGAATTGTGGCGTGGTACAGTTGCTGCAGAGATGCTAAGGCACAGATTTCAAGAGCTTTCGTCTGTTAATGCTATAAACTAGTTTTATTTGATTAATACCCTTCTATACCCTCTAAAGAATTGTATGCTCAGCTCTTGTTATCTTCTTCTTCTTCAACTGTGTGCATAACCGGCAGCTGATTCCCAGTAATTTCCAACAAGTTGACCAGCTCTGCAAAAAAAACCGCAATAATTCAGCTGTACTTGAATTTTTTTCTGATTCCCTAATTTGATGGGGGCAGCCCCGACATTCGCCCAGTTTCGACTTGCTTCCAGCCGATATTACGTCAATGTGCAATTACAAACAACAGCAAGGCACACAAAATAGCAGAAGAAAGAAAATAAACAAATACAAAAACAAAAACTGCAGCGCCATCAGGTGCGGTAATAAGCGCTCTATCTCGCTCGCACTCAGTGCATACAAATTGCTTGTAATGGCAGCAACCACAGAGCTGCACTGAAACAGAAACCGAACTGAGCTGAAATGCGAATGTGAATGCAAATACAAATGCGAGAAGGGAGCTTTAGTGGAGAAGCCGACGCGTCGGCCGGCGTCGTAGACAACAATAACAACGGCATAATTACAATTATGTCATACACATGTATTACAGTCTGCGTTTTACATTTGTGTGCGTGTGTGTGTAGAGGCGGGGATGAGTGCGGCATACAATTTACGTTTTGGGGCTATTACGAGACGAGCTTTGACTCGATCAACACGTGCTGCTACTTTATGATCGTTCATTGCCACGCAGACGAGGCACAAAACAGATTTGCAAAACGAGAGAGCGGGGTGAAGAGAGCAACCAGCTTGACCGGCCCTTCAACAGCCAAGCCTACAAGCAGGCATATTTGTGTACAGATGTTTGTAAACATGTGTGTATGTATGTAAATATATCGTTTGTACATGTCTACATATGTAGGTTTGCTTTAATTAGAATGCGCTATAAAATATGCAAAACGGTACATTTTGATTAGCAGTCACGCATGTAAATGGCAAGCAATCAATTTGCAAAAATAATATATGTATGTACATACATATGCATGTGTATATGTACATACATGCACATGCAAATGTTGTATTCGCTTGAAGTAGAAACAGCGCAATATAACTTTTATGTATAAAAGACGTCATGATGAATGTGCGTACGTCCATTCACATATGCATATGTACATATATATACATAAATATGTACGTGTGTGTGTGCGTGCGAAATAATCAAAACCAAAAAAAAAACATTTTAAAGTATGTGTGCCATTACATTCGCATTGAATAAAGTAAACATATGTAGAAAAGAACTCAGCTCAGAGAGCAGAACTAAGAGTGAGAGAGGGCGAGTCAAACTGCGAGGTGCAAACTCAAAACAAACGCACATACATATGTATGCATTTGCGTGAAACATGCATAATTAGCACATATCAAATCAAAAGAGAAGGCCAAGCAAGAGTGAAAGAGAGCCTTAAGGCACGATTAACAGCAAAACAGGTTACTGTGGTGCAATGCCAATGAAAAAAGTGCCCGATTAGTATGTTAATGTGTTAATTATTTTCGATGATAACAAAATGTGTGCATCAATATGTTTTCAACTACTTTAAGTTGTGCAATGTGTTAAATTTAAAGTCGAGCTGCTATTTAAATGTTGGCAATAAATAGAGGACTGCACTCGCTGCAGTTATTTACCTTTAAATTTCAACGCTTGCTTGATGCACCTGGAGGCACTGTGCGCCGCTCACAATAAAGCGCCGGCAAAAGTTTAATTGAAAAGCCAACTTTAATAGCCACGTGGTGCGTGCTTCTTTTCTTTTGTTGTTGCTGTTTTTTTTTTATTTTTGCTTTTGCTGCTGTTGTTGTTCTTGGTCTTGTTCTTGTTCTTGCTGCTTATGTGGTGCACTTTCAATTGTTTCTTGAGCACTTGTTCTTATGTTCGACGCGAAACGCTGACGCTGACGTTGACAGCGGCAGAGTGGCTTGCTATTGTTGTTTTTGTTTTTGTTTTTGCTTGTGGTTGCTGCAGCAACCAAGTGTCAGCAGCTGATGAAAAATGTGCCACTGGAGAGGTCCGCCTGGTTTTTGACATATTGACAGTGGCGGCGCAACCAGTGCAGGCCAGGGTGTGGGGGCGGCAGCGCTGCAGGGGCCGCTAGGACTCTAGCTAAAAAACATGTGTGTGTGCGTATGTGTGTGTGGTGTGTGTGATGTGTGTGGGTTTGCTCGTGTGAAAGGTGAGCGGCGTGTTGTCAATGCTGACAGTTTCTGGGTATGACCATGCGATACATGTTCCCAACTCAATTTTCTCAATTTTTTTTACCCCCAGTCTTTCTATATATAAATATATATTTTTTGCTTTGAACTCTTGTAACTGACACCTCTCCATTTGAATTGTGTTTCGCTCTGCTCTATGTGATCCATCAAACGTTAAGCCCATGTCTAGCGTCTAGTTTTCCACCTTAACCAACCGTTAAACCCCCCCACAACGCCGCCCCTGGCTCATTTGGCTTGTAATCTCTCGCGTTAATTGACAGTTTTTGCCGCTGCCGCTGCCGCTGCCGACGCCGCTGTCGACGCTGACGCCGACGCCTTCGTCATTGTCGCTTTGACAGCAAATTGAAAAATTGTTGAGATTTTTCAACAACAAAAAGCCAAATGTAATTTCTATGTACACAGAATTTCGAAACAACAACAAAATGGCAACATTTTGTATGTAGCCTAATTCGGGGAAAACAAATCAAATTAAACTTTATGCGAAATATAAAATTTGTTTAGTTCAAGGTCAAGGCATGCAACTGTTTATGCGGGCGCTGCTGACACGCCCACCTATTTTTTGGCGCCTCAAAACACGCGCCGCAAACGTCGCACGCACAAATTTTAATTGAATTTACATTTCACACGCACACACATAAAGATACAGATACAAATACTCAATAGATATGAATTCTCTGTTTGCCATTTGATAAAGACACAACCGAAAAAAAGAACACAACAAAAATTAATTCAATTAACGGGCGAGCAATAAAAAAAAAACTAGCCAAAACGATTGCCTATTAACTGGCCCAGGCGTTGCCGTGGGCTCAAGGGTGAT